GGTGCTGGGGCGGATGTCACAAAGGGGTGCGGGGCTGCGGGGGGGGGCCAAGCCTCGGGGTCCCTGCCCCCCCGGGCACGGGGCTGCGGCCGGCGTGACGGGGCGTGACGGGCAGAGGCCCCCGCCCGCAGGGCTCGCCATGTCCCACTGCCGGAGGAGCCCGTACGCTCCACGCACCTACAGCCCCGAAGGTAGGGCGGGGGGGAGGAGTGGCTCCTGGGCTGGGCGGGACCCCCCACACACAGCACAGCCCCATCCTAGCGTGCGGGGCGGGGGTCCCAGCTCGTCCAGCCCCTGCTCGGGGCAGGGTGTCTCTGCCCGCACTCGCGCGTGTGCGACCTGCTCCGAGCAGGCCCTTGAGAGGCACAGCTGCCGGGCACGGCGCCACTGCGCGGAGCAGCCTGCCCTGCCCCAGCTGAAGCAGGGTCGAGGGCACGGCCAGCGCCCTGCCGCTGCCGGCACAGGAGGGAGTTTGCTAAAATGCACTCCAAAAATCCCAGGGAGAGGCCGTGCCCCCACTGCAGAAGGCGGCAAACCCCCCCAGTGCGGACCAGTCTGAGCCGGGGGAAATCCCTTCCTGCCCCAGTGCAGCGTCGGTGCAGGGGCAAGAGCCTGCAGCCAGGACCCGGCGGGGTTGGTGCCGCAGCCAGCGCCACCGAGGAAGGGCAGAGCATGCCTGTTTCTGTCAGCTGTCTTTGTACCCCTTGCTTCCAAGTCCTTCATCATTTTCATCTTCCGCTTTTGGACTCTCTCACTTCCCCACGTCCTTTTTAAAACGTTTAAAACATATTTGCTCAGGAAGCTTTCTGTGCCAGCATCCAAATGATTAGCAAATGCAGGGAACAGCGCTGGGCCCGGTGGCGCGCCACTGGCCACATAGTGACCCCAGCCACAGGTAGCCCACGGCACTCGGGCCCTGCACGTAGGGTGGGAGAGCAGTGGGGCTGGCTGGGCTCACACCTGGCCAAACGCCCGCTCCAGACGGGGTCAGCCCCGTGTGACCTGCCCAGCCGAGCACGTGTCTAACCTGCTCTTGCAGACGTCCAGGGACACGACGCCCGCGAGTCTGCTCCAGAGCAACCCCCTCATCCCTCCTAACACCCACAGGAGAGACCGTTGCTCCTTCTCTGCCCCCTCCGCCCCAGGGAACAGCCCATCTCCATCCCTCCCGGCATCTGCAGACTTATCAGATGCCCGCTTCAGTCTCCTCTTCTCTTCTGCAGACTAGGTAACCCCGGTTCTTCCAGCCTTTCCCCGTAATTCATGTCTCGGGATTTTTGTTGCTGTCTGCTGGGCTCTTTCCAAACTGTCCACATCCTTCTTCAAGTGCGGGGCCCAGACCCCAGCCCAGGGCTCCAGGGGAGGATGCTCCAGGGCCGAACCATCACTGCCCTTGATTTGCAAGCGACTTTCCTATTCATGCAAGCCAGGACGCCGCTGGCCCTTTTTGGGAGCAGAAGCACCGGTTGGCACCAGAGGTATTCTAGGGACCAGGGAAGCTTCCAGGAAGCCACCCTCCCACGGCCAAGCGCTCAAGAGAAACATTTCAAATCAAGGTTAATAGCAATTTTGATTTTGCAGCAGTGAATGATAAGACCACACGGGTCAGGCATGTTGAACCAGACAAGAGTTCTTAGGGTCTAAAACAGCAAATTTAGATTAATGTCTTGCATGTCGTCAAGCCTTGAGAGCCTGTCCCCGTGGCCGGCCCGCAGGGAAGTGGCCTTCTGAGCCGGGTTGGGAACCTCAGCCTCTCCCATCTGCAGAGGGGCAAGTCAGCAAGACCCACAGCTGCAGGCTGTGGAGGCTTTTCCCTTTCCTAAAGCTGGGCGCTGCACTGGCTCTTTTCCGGGGGCTCGGGACCTCACTGGACCCCCACGAGCTCTCCCCAGCAGCTCCGCCATTCCTGCAGCCAACGCCGAGCACCGGGGGTGGCTTCCCAGCCTGTGGCCCGCAGCCTGCCAGGGGATCCCGCCCTGCTGCGTTTGCTTCCCTTCTCGAATCGCGACACGTCACAGCTGCAGAGTTATTCCACCAAGGGCCCATGCAACCCGCTGGTCCAGCTGCCTGCACAACACAGAGCCCGACCCTGCAGCCCTGGCACAGAGCCGGTCTTTTAGAGAGAGACCCCCCCCGCCCCTGGGTCGTAGCCAGCAGGCCGGGCATCTCCCATCAGCTGCCCACTGCAAGGCCCTGCACAGCTGTCTCGTATTAAACACAGGGGATCGCTGGCCAAAGGGATGTGCCCGTGGCCGCTGAGGTAGGCAGTGGCGGGGGGAGGGGGCGCGCCCTCCGCTGGCCAAAGGTATGTGCCCGTGGCCGCGGGGTTAGCCAGTGGCGGAGGCAGGACGAGCTCCTGCCCCCCACGTCCCTGGGGCTGGGGGCAGTGCTAGGCTGCCTGGCTCTCCCTGGTGCCACGTGCCTGCCTGCGCCCGAGCCCCGTGGAGCTCCCCCGCCTCAGAGAGCCCTGCACCCAAACCCCTCTGCTCTCCTCTCCCTCTGCAGGGCCCTCTC